GAATACCCCCGGAACGGTTATAACCGCAAATATGTCAGTTTTCCTACATAAAAGCGATAATAGCGCTTTCCTCTCACGCAGTCAGAACGCGGAGTGATACAAAGTCTCGCGTGGACCTGCGAGAGTCCAGGGTCACACAGGAAGCTAATTGGATTTCCTAAACGTCCGCCATTTACCCAAACAATATTGAAGCTGGGGCTTCATATTTCTCGCATCGTCGGCCATAATTGTGCTGTCAGCGGTGCTAGGGGATAGCAAACTCCCTTGGTAGCCCCAGACATCATGAATGTATTCCAAATTACAACGTTTTCTGCATTTTTCTGACAGTCGAATTGTCTTGAGAGTAGAAATACTGGCATCGTGATGCAGACCATAAACTCTTTAATTCTGCTGGGTGGACTAGATTGACACGTGACGGGAAAGAAGGAGATCGTTCTCGATATGGGAGTCCCCTAAGGACAAAAACTGGCATTATATCTGTCTAACCTCCTAAAAAGTAACACCTCCACTTTGGCAGCAGAACGGTACTTTCTCCGTTCGATGTGGTTCATTGCTTGTATTAAGTTGACATATCCGTACAAACTTTGTCAGCTCTTCGACATGCCATCTGATTAATTGGTGCGAGATGAACTTGGATAGGTCAACTTCCTTTCGGCAACAATCAATATTCTCTTTAATCCTAGCACGAAAACTTTTGAGCAACAGTTTATGGATTTTCTTACAGCTGAACAGATCCCTGTCGTTACTACAGGGTTTAAACAACAACGTCGCCGACTTTGAATCTAATTGATTTTTTATTAAAGGTTTTAGATATCAAAACTTTTCAAATATAAATACGCCTGTTTAGTTTTGATTGTTGTAATATGTAATCACAAGAGACGACAGACTTAACAATGTGTGAATTGGATCCATTACTGAAAACTTCACAAAGAATTAATTTTTTTAATTTTCAAACCCCCCTTTAGATGTATTCCAGTGATGTTTCTAATGTCTTTATAAAATGGATCAAATGTATGTTATGTGTTGATGTACATATGACGCTAGTGATATTCGCTAGTTAAGACAAAATGTACACTTTCAATGAATAAATCTAAAACATTCATGTAATATGTATCTATTAATTGTTTTTTTAGAAAACGGATACGTGCCAATGTACACACGTGCAATGCTAAAAAAACCGCCACAAATGCCAGAAATGCCGCCCGAGCGGGCCCTGGGGATGACACAGATCGGATCCACCCATGCCCACATTCATTGTTGGACGTTTAGTTGCTCCCGTGTTGCTGTATCTAACCAGGTGCAACGTTGCAGACAGACCTGGCAGACATCAGACAGACCAAGAACAGGCAGAACCTTGGTAACTATGCCCAATGTAGACCGGTACTTGCCTACTTCATTTTGCCTGACAGTGACATCATTAGCGAGAAATGCCTTAAGGCATATGGTTAGTCAACAGACCGTGGTCAGGCGACTCAGGGCTCAAGGAATTAGGGCCCGATTTTCGCACCATATCCACAACAACTGCCACGTGGTGTCCTTTATCACCTTACAACCAACGCTAGACCCCATACAGCCCGAATCGTACCGAACTTCCTTGCAGCCAACAACTTCAACGAGTTGCCGTGGCCTGCACACTCCCCAGACATGACCCCTGTGGGATGTCAGGGATCGTCATGTTCGACAGCGACCACATCCTCAAGCTAACCGACAAGAACTGATCCAGGCCCTCTAAGAAGAATGGCGACGTATCCCACCTGACGTCATCAGACAACTGACTTTTCCGTGCACCAGAGAGTTATTGCGTTTCTTGGAGCAGGGGGTGGTCAGACACGCTATTCATGTGACGTGTCACTTAACTTGAGCGATTTTAATTGTGTATGCCCTTTGTCCATTACGTAGAAGCTTGTTTTTGCTACCCCACTTCGATTCGGGCAACTGTCCTGCCAACATCGGATGCAAAATGACTGTCATTTTAGAATATGATTTTTTCAATAAATTTTTCCTCACTATGAAACTATGGTAAAGTTTTTTTGGCCGTCAGTTTAGAACACATAAGCAAGTAACACCGCTAGTAAACACTTTAAGCAGTAAAAATAGCAACACTAGTACTCTTATAATCACTTATACATTTCTTTTATTTATATGTATTCTTTTTTATCAATTCGTTAATACTTTGATACATTTGTTTACTATCATTTATATAATTATCTGTATCAACAGTAATATGTTTAAAATTGAATTATTTTTTTTCAAAATTGTTGAATGTCATTGTCAATCATGAATGTTGACGGTTTCTCACTGGTCACAAAACGACATGTACCTATCCAGTTGTAAAAGGGCATAATGCATAGTCATTTGAAAACAACAGTACCCTCTCCGACACCTTAGCTGAAAACAGCTGAAATGAATGTAAAATGTGTTCTGTCATTGAAGGAATCCTATGCTATGCCTTGGACATGTCCACCTATGTGCCATCAATGTAACTTTACAGTGATTTCTCAGCATGGCTTGAATTTAGCGTTTCCATTTTCTTCAGGCCATCTTCCTGCTCATTTGACACATACCACAACCCGACTGATGTTTCATAAAATCTTAATTACGGCATCTGCATGTTGAGGTGCATTACCTTACAACTGAAGGATGGCATTCAAAAGTTGCCCTTGTTCACGTGACATACATTGACGTTTTAGCGAATCCTGATAACGTCATCTCTATGTGTCATGCTACACTTCTGACTGCTGAGCTACAGTACCTTACAAACAAGGATGACGTTGTAAACTGCACCCGATGATATTTCGTCCCATAACCATAACATTTCCAAGGTTGTAACACATGAAAACACAATGTAGTTGTGGGTTTTTTTCGAAAGAAGACAAGTGTTCCACGCACACTGCTCTGATCATGCAAGCATAAAGTAACAAAAATATACATATTGCCATCCTGATGGGACAATCTATATTTCTCTCATGTGCTCCCTTAACTGTGATGGATCATTTATTTTTTCATATCCGAAATGTGTTTAATGATTTGGAAAATACATCAATATTTCATATTTGATTAAATTTGTTTGTTGTGAGCAAGGAGTTAAATATAAACGAAGCAAGTGTTTTATTAATCCCTTGAACGTGAAAGCGCGGCGCCAGAGAACCCAACGGTTCAAATCTTAACGCATTTTGCGTTTCTGTAAAAAAGTATTGTATTCAGCTATAACGCCCCATGAACATAAATGTTATATTTATTACCACCATATGTTGTTTGAACTGGACGATAAATCTTTCAAATAGGCAATTTAACGAACATTTTACATATTTCATACCAGTTGAGGAGTCGGTAAACAATATCCCCTATCCAAATTGTCATTGCCTGAGAAATTGCTTCTGTTCTCGTAATATTTGGTGGTGAATTCATCACACGTCACAGACAGGAATGAAAATGTATGAACCTATTTTGATTAATTAATCTTCTCATAACCTTCCATTTATTACACTACAAAGAATACGGAAACATGAATATGAACTCTTGCTCCCATCAACATAATGGCACTCTAAGAGCGTCATATTAAACCTTGGTGTTCTACATAGTAATATGGCTCCCACAGTTTCATTGCACACAGACGAACTGTTAGGCATGAACATCTAATAAAATAAGGGTCAATTAATGACTACAGTGCCTATCGACTGACTTCTTTCAATATGTAGACAGCCAAGGCGCTAGATGAGTTGGAGGTAATATTTGAAAGTGGCCAACTGCATTATCACTTGAGACGGGATTATCTCTTAAACATCGACCCTATTCAATTAACATCATTTTCAAACGTGTAACGTTAAATGTGTATGTTGGTGAAATAAATCTAAAAGGCTTGAACGTTACTTAATTGGTAATTGGTTTATGCAGACTTATATATATTGTTAATCTCTTGGTTATAAACATTTTCATTCAATCACAATAGGGTGAACAAGTACACGTGTGACACTAACGTAGACCCGATTGTTTATATTCGGACGTCATACAGCAGGAGTATTGCTGGGTACGGCGTTAGGTAATAAACGCTTACTTTTTACGACAATTATGTGAGTGGATGGTGTGGTGTCATCAGTGATTTCAGGGATCCATTCATATAATTTTCACTACTATGAATCACTTTGGGCAGATAATCGCGACTGATAATTCTCTGGCGTTGACGTTTGAATCTCAATGAATTATATAAACCCCAACATGAATTATTTAAAGGGAGACTTGGCTCCGGCCAATTGGCAGTCGCAGCCTGATTCAAGCAACTTAAATGCTATGTTGTGTAAATGTAAACGCACAGTTTATGTTACATATCAATCTAGCAATTAATGACTATCATAAGTACACACGTACAATGGGTCAGTTTGACACAAATCACAAATTACGATATCTAGATCAAAACTGGTTATGAGTTCCAGGCTCTGGACCATTCTTTTGCAGGATGCATAAAACGCCACTATACGACAACGAAAACCCACAAGAAAACTTTCATTTCACATTGTGACTATACCCATTACATGACGGTAAACGTCTGATAAACACTTCATATTATTAGTTGCATGTCGTTATTTCACCCTTGTAGTATATCATTAATAAAACCCAACAGAAAGAGCTCACACAATCAGTTTGCATGAAGCAGCTATCACATTCGTAGCATAAAAAAATCCCACACAGAATTAGTTCATACCATTCTTTTGCAAGGCCCTCTAAATCCATTATAACATGATGAGTACCAACAGAATAATCTCACACCATACTTTTGCACGACACCGTTACCACAATTGCAACATAACAAAATCCCAACATAGAATAACTCATTTACCGCTCATATAAAAAATATATAAAACGCTTAAATAGTAATATTGCTTTGTTTATTTCATGATGATGCATCACTTCAAATGTGTCACTCACCACTGACCAATATGCAAAATCAATACGCTCAGTGTCTACCCACTGTTGAACAACGTCATTGAACACAAAACACAGACCGCTTTCCGTTGTGTATTTTATTGTAAATTCATCACAACCATTGAGCATAATTGTCTACCATGATGTGCAGTTGCAGACCACGCGGGTACATATGCACGGAAGGGAACAATACACTCAGCTACAACCCCACAGCGTTTACTGTAGGTACACGGTGTTCGTACATGTAAGGTCTAGGTAAGTTGTTCGTACAACACTAGGGTGATCTGTCGAGGATTTACACAGTTTAAGTAGATAACAGAGAAACAAATAGAAACAAACTCTATGGGGAACACACAGGCAGAATGCAACAGGCATACACAATAAAATACAGTCTCCCGTACTTGAAGTAAACAGTTCTTGCTGCTCGATTTTTGCTTTAATTTTGTAAGCCTTAGTAATGTCTAGATGAGTATCTCTGTGTTTAGTCCAAAGTAACAGGCAACAAACTTATTGTAACCTACAATGTCAGAACTCTCGGGCATGCTTCCGTCAAAGCTCTGAAGCATGTTCCCGTAACACTGTCAAAGCTATAAAGCATGTTCCCGTAACACCGTCTAAGCTCTGAAGCATGTTCCCGTAACACTGTCAAAGCTCTGAAGCATGTTCCCGTAACACCGTCAAAGCTATCAAGCATGTTCCCGGTAACACCGACAAAGCTATCAAGCATGTTCCCGGTAACACCGACAAAGCAATCAAGAATGTTCCCGGTAATACCGACAAAGCAATCAAGAATGTTCCCGGTAACACCGACAAAGCTCTGAAGCATGTTCCCAGTAACACTGTCAAAGCTATGAAGCACATTCCCGTAACACCGTCAAAGATATCAAGCATGTTCCCGGTAACACCGACAAAGCAATCAAGAATGTTCCCGGTAACACCGACAAAGCTCTGAAGCATGTTCCCGTAACACTGTCAAAGCTCTGAAGCATGTTCCCGTAACACTGTCAAAGCTCTGAAGCACATTCCCGTAACACCGTCAAATCAATCAAGAATGTTCCCGGTAACACCGTCAAAGCTATCAAGCATGTTCCCGGTAACACCGACAAAGCAATCAAGAATGTTCCCGGTAACACCGACAAAGCAATCAAGAATGTTCCCGGTAACACCGACAAAGCAATCAAGAATGTTCCCGGTAACACCGACAAAGCAATCAAGAATGTTCCCGGTAACACCGACAAAGCAATCAAGAATGTTCCCAGTAACACCGTCAAAGCTCTGAAGGATGTTCCCAGTAACACCGTCAAAGCTCTGAAGGATGTTCCCGGTAACACCGTCAAAGCTCTGAAGCACATTCCCGTAACACCGTCAAAGCAATCAAGAATGTTCCCGGTAACACCGTCAAAGCTATCAAGCATGTTCCCGGTAACACCGACAAAGCAATCAAGAATGTTCCCGGTAACACCGACAAAGCAATCAAGAATGTTCCCAGTAACACCGTCAAAGCTCTGAAGGATGTTCCCAGTAACACCGTCAAAGCTCTGAAGGTTCCCGGTAACACCGATAAACATATCAAACATATTGCCAGTAACACCGTCAACGTTTTCCGGCATGTTCCCGGTAATATCGACAAGGCTAACAAGCATATTCCTGGAAACACTGTCCAAGTTCTCATGAATGTTCCCGGTAAAACCGTGAAAGCTCTCTAGCATCTTCACAGATATATTATACGATCATCTCGTAATAATCACAATTCGTTTGAGAAAAGGATTTGGAAATCAATGTTGTCATGAAGTTGTTGTGGTGTGTTTGACTGACATTAATGTATATTGGTCCACATGCTTGACACGAGTCACTGTTAAGTTATGTGCTGGTGTCATCACTGATCCATAATGTTCACCACTACCGTAGTCGACGAAATAAGCGCCTAGGGCGCTCTCAAAATTAGAAATAGGGGGTTCTTATTAGAATATTATCTTGGTGAAAACAAAACAGTGTTGAAAGATAAATTTTGTGCTTTATGCTGACAGCCTGAAATGTTTACATACGAGAGATACATTTTTCCAGAATTTAATTGCCCATAATTTAGGCTGCATACAACAAACGAGTGCGTATTATACGCGAATAAACAAGTGTTGTGTACATTGATCAATCGGAAGGGGTGCTACTTGGGATTGTTCACTAGCCAATATATTAGCAAATATCGCCGTGGGCGCTTATTAGAGCGGGGCGCTTATTACGTCGAATAAGGTATTATTGCTTTAACGACCAATGTAATCTGTTTCGGAGGATGATCAGGACTGACTTTATATAACAAATCCTGACAACTTATAACATATGATACCAATCAATCTGTCAATTGCTTATTACATCGTTGAAGCTTATATTTTATCCTAAAGATGTATTGAGTATAATACGTATTGCGGTAAGTATTTCGCATTTCCTTTCAAAGTTCTCAATCAAACTCATAAACACATTGCGATACATACTGTAATTCCATACGTCTAACCACCATAATGCATACGAAGGAAGCATGTATGGCCTTGTGCCTTTGTTTGTAACAAAATGGCTTAATGAATTACTATCACAGTACAAACAAAACCGTTTGATTTTTGGTTTGATCATAGCAAATAATATACAATAGTATAAACAACAGTATATATAAACTGTATCAAACAAGTAACATTGCTATAACATATTCTATGACAAAACATATACAAATTGTCAACACAAACGTCACACATATATCTCAGCATTACAAGAACATGTATATATACAAACGCGCAAATATGCTTGGAATCATATATTAATATCTCACACTCACATTAAGTAAGACTTATAATTAGAATAGTTCATATACACATAAAGGAAGCAAGGAAGCTGTGCAATAGACGTAAATAGACGTGGCATCTGCGGAAACGCTCAAATGGGTAACATATCAAATAAATATATACCTTCATTCATAGCCAATACACATTATTGCAAGGTACATTGGTTGGCTTGCACTATACAGTAACCTACCATTAATGTAGGGCACGGATAAAGCATTTCAACTATAATATAGAACTCCCAAGTATCAAGTTTTATTTGTATTATAAGACGTTCGTGTCCATATATACATCTTGTTGCGTCTAAATCATTCTCAATGATTATGCAATACTGATAGCTTTGAAGTAAACTCCAAGATTTGTTTGTTTGTTGTTTAACAACGCACTCGGCAATATTGGACTCCAAGAACCTACCTCGAATTGCTGTTTAAGTTCTTGCACAAAGCAAACGAACCCAAAAAAATCATGAAAGTATCATTTTTTATGTATTTGTTCCCATATCTTTCAACAAAACCATTCAATATTAGTTCGAATGAAATTTCCATGCAAGGAAAGTCATATATGCTGCAGATATTATATCTCTCACAATATTCAAATAATTTAGTCCAGCCGTAGTCGTGCGTTTCATTCGCATTTTATGATGTTATATACGAACACGCACTTAAATGATACGTACACAGCTGCACACATTTGGATTGTTTTTTTTATCCATGTATCTAGTCCTGTCAAATAGGTTCAGTTACCTTCTTTTTTAGACACAATAACATTTAACCTTGGGGTAGAAATTGATAGAATTATTCACAATGAATATTGCCCAGCATACTGTATCAACTATAGGTAGACAGCATGATACGTACACAGCTGCACACATTTGGATTGTTTTGTATCCATGTATCTAGTCCTGTCAAATAGGTTCAGTTGCCTTCTTTTTTAGACACAATAACATTTAACCTTGCGGTAGAAATTGATAGAATTATTCACAATGAATATTTCCCAGCATACTGTACCAACTATGGGAAGACAGCATGGTCTTAGACTCCAATTAGGCGTATGTTGATAAAAACAGGAGATGGCATATAAAAAAAGCTTTAGTACTGCTTTTCAAACATTTACTGGATGATGGTCAAACTGGCCAGATAGAAGGCTAATGTCAACCTAGGGAAAGGTTAAGCATCGCCGCTTCAACATGTTCATGTTCATGTATCCTGAACCTCCATGCATCCCTTGGTGGAAATATGTACACGTCATCGATCTCATTCTAATATGTGTCTATGATGCCACCGACACCCCTTGCACAGTTGGCACAAGAATACTGTGTGTTCCTCCAGATGATCGCAAGTACTGGGTCATATCAATTGATATGAGGAATCAGAGGAACCAGTTGAAAGGGGAGCCAAATAACTACCGTCGTGAAGCAGTTACAAAACTTGTAATTCGATAACCGATTTCGGTTTCTATATTTCAATATGGGCAGCTTACTTGTTTAACAAAATTACGTGTGTTTTGTCAGAACAGTAAGGAAAGGTTATGATTTATAAAAAAAACTACCATTATATACGGAAATATATAGCAAGCGGTGTAAACATTTTTGACAGGTGTATATATCAATATTCACGCAATCAGATGAAGACTGAAATAGAATTCCTTAACAATACGTTAACTTTTAGTCTAACCATCTAAATGCATTTACTATTAGAAATATACAGTATCTATAACGAGTCTGTATTAGACGGTGTGTGAATGGCAGTACTGTTGGTAGGGATATAATCAATGAATACATAATACACATTTGCCAGTTGTCACAATTACGCTTCTGTTTGACTGGATGTTCAAATCCATGATGTACACATGCATACAGCTCTGCTCAATATCTTCCGATGGAATGTCTATTCTAATAAGCAACGATGGTTCCCGGTTGTCTCATCAACAACGCTCCACATGACTTCATATTTAGGAACATCAGGATTATGCTGATTGATGAAAATCCTTTTTGAACTTATTTTTGTCGAAGATCATCCAGTTTCGTGGAAAAGGTAAACATCTTTGCCAATCCTGTCGTCACATTGTCACATGTTTCCATAAAACGGACATTTCGTTGAAATTTATTTAAGTGTTGCGGGATCTCGAATATATATTCCACTTTATTAAACAATTTGTTGCATCCTGGATGCTTTGGGGGACGATACTGTTTGTAGCCATGTTTAAACGGAAGTGATCATTTCACAATCTGATCCCTCGTCACTGCTTGCCTCGATGTGACTTTTCTGCTTCCGCTGTATCAATTCTCTTCTCCTCACAGGCTTCGGATCAAGGGGCACCGCTTCCACACAAGCTTCCTGAAGAACACAGAAACAATATATACCGTTTGTTTGTTTGTTTGTTTGTTGTTTAACGCCGCACTCAGCACTATTCCAGCTATATGACGGCGGTCTGTAAATAATCGAGTCTGGACCAGACAATCCAGTGATTGACATCATGAGCATCGATCCACGCAATTGGGATCGATGACATGCATCAACCAAATCAGCGAGCCTGACCACCCGATCCCGACAATATACACTGAAATATGAGACAGTTTGCTCTGAATTGCAATAATAATGTTGTGATTCCCATTACCAGGCCGATACTATTATTGGGGTCGACCCCAACAATTCATGACATTTGTGTGAAAAAAAGGCAAGTAAACCCCTGCATGTTTGCTTGAACAAAAACATGTCTCCGTAACAGATTCTTTTGTAAGGAATATACATGGGTGTAAATCACATGAATGGGTCACTGAAAAAAATGCATTTCTTACCGACCATCATCGATGTACAAATATAATAGTAACAGAGAGTTGATAAATAGCATTAAGCATAGCTACCAGTATAGACACGATGTTGAATCACGAATACAATTTTAACTAAAGATACAGTAACAGTGTGAGTAGTTTATATTTGATTTGAATAGTGGTCATGTTTCCATGACCAAAAGCAACAAAACCCTTTCCATATTCATAATAAATATTTGCTAAAAGCAGAGTCGACTGTCCGATTCCGAATCACTATAAAAACACACAGTAACGTCCCATTGCATTTAATTTGTCAGGTTTTAATGAATGCCTTGACGACGGAGATTACAGTCTGGAAACAGACGAATGCAAACACAGAGACTAAAACATCTCTTCTAGGCGCCATTCCTACACACTTTCACAAACATATTTCTAATTGCCATCCAAGATAATTACACATTTTTCACAATGTCACTGGTACTGAATGTCTGCTATGTTCAGTCACCTTATCCAAACCCATCCATATAGTTGTGGCTATTTTCATGTTATATTAAAATTAATTAAATCAAAACTCATATTCCTGTAACTACCGTCTGCCATAAATCCCTGTACTTGCTTCCAATCAAGTGAACTCTATTCTGCCCAAATGATCTCAATTTGTCCAGTTGTTCCTGTCAACTGAAGCTAACCCAACCTGAACACTGAGGTCCGTTCTTACAGTAAATCACTGGCAAGGAAGGAAGATTTATCACCCAGACTTCGCAGAGGATCCCCTCGCAGATGAAACTTGTCAGAAGGAAATAAAGATTAAACGACCGATCATACAAAGCCAGACCCGACGAGCGAAAATCTAGAGGCAGAGCCCTGGTATTTGTACAAGGTAAACTCCAAGGCCCCCTAAAAGGGGTCGTGTCTCGGAACCAATTTATCATCCTATCCGGGCATATGCGTATTCAATATTGTCGAGATAGTCATACAATCCCCTGCATCGGGGAATTAGAAATCACACCCTACTCTCAGCAAAGGGATCGTTTGAAGAGGAAGGAAGATTATTTCTAGGAAGTGTTTGTCATGGTGTCAACGGATGTCTGCCGCTGGAGAGGCATCAAGAAGGACAACGGACAGAACGAGATGGATTCATCATCTTCGGCGCCCAGTCGATTTTCCAGCAGATACTTCGTTTACTTTAGAGCATATTTCGCCCAGCTAGAGCCTGATGAATGACACTTTACTACCACAAAGCCGTTGATACAGATTTATTTGACATAGCCAACGGTGTAGAACTGACATAAACTTCGCCAACTACTTTATTTGTCCGATTCCTTCCCTAATTTAATGCAATCGATGAGCCTGGCGTGCCAAAGATTTTGACCCCTGTCGGAAAAATGTTCCCTGCGCCCAATTGCATTAATACAAATTTCCTCCGCGATATTAGAAGCTAAATAATTAAACTGACTCTATCAGACATTATATTCATTGGCAATATGGAATAATAAATAGCCACAAGTTGCGATGTCGAATGATAAGTCGGAACATGAGAAACGGCTTATTCCTTATCATCTTGTTATTGCTATGAAGTTTGTAATTGCTTTCATAATTCAAGGAGCGGCTTGCCTCTTGTTGGCCTCTTCGTGATGTACAGTTTCGTCCCTTTATTTAGACAACATTAACAAGGTTGAAGCTCTAAGTAATTTACGTTAGCATGAGAGGGAAGCAAGATCCATCATTTCTTCACATCGTTGCCTTTCACTTGGCTGAATTGGGTGACGAGCTATATCATGTCAATTTCAACAGTGTCATAAAAACGATATTGCGCGTTCCTTCCGATTGGGCAAGATGTATTTTGTGGAAATACATTACACTTTTGTTCAAATGCACGGCAGTTATGGTAAAATGCATTACGATTTGGACGAAATACATTACCAAACATTTCCATTTTTACATTCACGTGAAATGGAAAACGTCAGTCGGGAGTAGTATAAGAGTGAAATATCTCCGACATTTATTACCGTATTTACAGTATGGGTTTCTCCGGTTCATTTACAAGGATATGACACATCCAATCAAGACAGTAAATAATTCTGAAACTTATATGAGGCCTACACGTCTATTACTTGTAAAACTGTCCCGGGTTATATTTGCCCCATATTGATTTGTCCTGTAGACAGTTCTATCAACCCTAAACGCCCCGATGGCTTCGCTCAATCTTATGTCACACAGCCAGGGAAGCCTTTATAAAATGGCTCCAGATTACATTTGTATATTTTCAATTTATTTTTTCCTTCAATGCATGGATATACTCATAGCTTAACTGGCACACCTAGGATCAAAGTGACAGCCAAACCTCTAAATTCAGTAGGATATTTTCGGAAGGTTGAAACGGTCATGTTTTATTTCTTTATTTGTTACTTTGTACATATCGCATGTGACATTTTCAAGTTGTTTTTTCTCTCTTAAGTAGTAGAAGACTTAGTGAGATTCCGATAATATAAGTTGTCCCTTGTATAAATGAAGCAGATAACTTCTTAATCCGGACAGTACGGTTTACATGAGATTGTCCATAACAACCCCTTTAATCTGGACGTGTTATATAGAATTGTCCTATGTAGCCACTTTAATCCGAACCGTTCTGTTTACTTGAAAGTGTCCTTAATAAATCTTGTTAATCTGGTCGTGTTATTTAGAACTGTCCGATGAAACATCGTTAATCCGCAGTTCTGTTTACAAGAGTGTGCACAATAAACCTTGTTAATCTGGACGTGTTATTCAGAATTGTCCGATGAAACCTCGTAGATCCGGATATTACAGCTTTGGCAAATTGTTCTCTACAAAAATTGTTATTCAGAACAGTTTTAGTTTACCTACGTCTATGATTATTTAGATTATAATTGGTTAATCAAGATAAAAGATTTATGAATTATTTTATTCAAACATGAGGTTAACGCAGGATGGTGTTTCATAGTGCTCAGATGTGCACAGATCCTATATGTCAAATTACTGTATGTGCACAATTATTCATGAATTATATTCCTATCTCTTGATAAAGATGAGCTATGACCAATTACCAAGCTCGTGACATTACCAAATGACATAATTCATCTGTGCAAGACTACCCACAAAAGCAAAAGTATGAGATCATTTTAATGTATATGCTATTTCTTTCATTTCTAGCCATACACATATTTGATAAAATAATTTCAAAGTAGACCAAATATATGTTAGTTTCATCCCCAGTATTCTGCAATATACGGCCAATACTGCAGGGACAACCACCCCTGACATCTACACGTTCAGAAATAAACTCCGTCAATAAATCAATACGGGGAACATACGCGCAATCTTGAGTATCCGTATTTTAAAAAGAAATATCATCCCCTGTACGTCTGTCTAAAGGACGGACGCTACACAGTGAGAATACCCTGCTACACGGGCGCACTCAATGAGTCTGTGGCCACACTAACCTTCTCCAGTGCCGAGCAGGATGCCAGGGAGTCGAGTGAGTGATCGTCGTTGTACTCGAAGCCCTGGGTCGTCAGTGCCTTCTTCTTCTGGCGATTCTTCAACACAGCACGCACCTGCAGAAGAACGGGGTTATTGTAGTAGTGCGAGAAGCCTATACATGGTTTTTTTATTATAACGCATTATTTATCAGACTGTCTAATATGTCCAGTGAACATTTTGTTTCCTAAATCTTGTCGACAATTGATTTGTTTTCAAGGATAATCGGAAGATGTTATGTTGTAGAAAAAATACCACACATTGTGGTTGGTTGGTTAATCCAGTGATTAGTATCATGAGCATCGATCCACGCAATTGGGATCGATGACATGCATCAACCAAGTCAGCGAGCCTGACCACCCGATCCCGTTAGTAGCCTTTTACGACAAGCATAGTCACCTTTTACGGCAAGCATGGGTTGCTGAAGACCTATTCTACCCCGGATCTTCAGGGGTCCACACATTGTGTAACATGGACATGAGCATATTATAATTATAGATTGAAACAGGGTACGTAGATGGGTGGTTATTATCACGTTTTCCATAGTCAATACTTCACTGACTTTCAGCACTAATATCCATCTGGCAGGAATTTATTGTAAAGTGTGATGACAGTTTTTTACCTTTCATCACTTTTTTTCATATTTGAATATCAACACTTTTGTGTGTCGTTTTGCTTTTATCAAGGTCGACTTTATGATGGAAGATTGGGAATTAAGTCCGGGGAGGTATCGTCGAGTGAGTGATCAGCTTGTCGAGTATCACGGCTTGCCACGTCATATCATGTCTTGCAGAAGATCGACATTGTTACATTAATAGGTGAGAGATTGTTACTTAACGCCGCACCAGCAATTTTGAAGCTATTCGCGGAAAACATTGTTAGTATGTGTGTGTGTGTGTCGATTTTGGTTTAGTTGAAACACGTCGAACGAGAATGCTATTGAAGATTACCAATAAGTTTTCTGCAAAGTGAAAACCATTATGCTTTTTCGGACTTGCGTTTTTTAATAGGTATTCAGATTGTGCCATTGGTTTCTAATGAAAAACCCAAGCACTGAACAGCCAAGAACAACCGAAAACATTATATTTATCTTCTAATTGTACGTCACATGTATAATCGCAGTGTAAACTTCATGGACATTTTATGGCAATGTTACCGGATTATGGTATATTTCGTATCACCATAAACTCTATTAATACGAAATACAGAAGTATGCAGTATCACCCTAGAACATAAGGTGAGGTGAAATGGGGTTGAACGTCGCGTTCAAAATTATAGTTCACTCACGGGCGTGTGGTTTGGTTTGGTTTGTTGTTTAACGCCGCACTCAGCAATATTCCAGCTATATGACGGCGGTCTGTAAATAATCGAATCTGGACCAGACAATCCAGTGATTTACATCATGAACATCGATCCACGCAATAGGGATCGATGACATGCATCATCGAGCCTGATCACCCGATCCCGGTAGTCGCCTCTTACGACAAGCATGGGTTGCTGAAGACCTATTCTACCCCGGATCTTCACGGGTCTCTGTGTGTGTGTGTGTGTGTGTGTGTGTGTGTGTGTGTGCCAGTTCTTCTTATGTCCCATTCGAGCCAGATAGTTTGTTTGTTTTATTTGTTTAGCGCCGCACTCAGCAATATTCCTGCTTTATGACCGCGGTCAGTAAATAATGCAGTCTGGACCAGACAATCCAGTGATTGACATGATGTGCATCGCTCCACGCAATTGGGACACGATGTCATGCATCATCCAGTGAGCCTGACCACCCGTTAGTCGCTACTTACGACAAGCATTGGTTGTTGGAAGACCTATACTAACCCGGATCTTTACGGGTATAGAGCAGATAGGGTTACAGTATGTGCCATTCTTAACGTCTTTCCATCCGTGAAGATCTGGGTTAGAATAGGTCTTCAGCAACCCATGCTTGCCGTAAAAGCCGACTTTGCTTGTCGTAAGAGACTAACGGGATCGGGTTGTCAGGCTCGCTGACTTGATTGATAACATCGTATCCCAATTGCGAGGATCGATGCTCATGATATCAATCAGTAGACTCGATTATTTACACTCCGCCGTCATATAGCTAGAATATTGCTGAGTACCCGCGTTAAACAACACACAAACAAATCTTAACGTCTCTCGGTATGAGGCAGCTATTTTTTTTTATAGATGCTCGTACCATCGACCTCCCGCACTCCGGGCAGACGCTCTATCCCGCACACCACGGCGGTCGGTGAAAGTATGCAACACTGTGTGGTGTATAATCACAATTCTTATCAATAACACAATAGCTGACTAAAGCTTATGAAAAAAATTAATTACCTGTCATCTGATCGCGAAGCGATGAAAAAAAATGCTTCGCAACATGTCGAGGCAAAAACGAAAAAAAGGGTTTGCGAACAGTATCGAGATATATTTTAAACCAATCGTCTTAATGCAACTGAAAATTTGACAAAGTTTACAAACATTGACGTCATCTGAACTTCAATCTTTGATAAAAATCTACCACTCCACATCCTCAAGAAAATCGTGGAGAGAGCTTGAAAAATGCCTCTTACGGGCAAACAGTGTCACTTTTTACTTTTAATGTAATTACAAAAAGTTCAGAACAATCCGTTATTTAATTTGTAAAAATGTTACATTGTAACAACTGAACATATTCCAGCACAATTAACACGCATATTTCAAGACACTTTACTATTTAACAAACAAAACCTTTGATCCAATTCGCAAGCACTGCTTAATGTAACGCCGTGCTAACTGTGTTAGATTCAGTCAATGTAGACACTCGATACAAAAATTGCATTAGTTAAACGACAAGCCAACTGACAGCAGACGCTGAGCTCGAGTTGCACGTGCCCCTAAAACATATTTGTGTCGGAACTCACGGGCATAAACAAGATCCTTATTGTGTTAGAGGGAGGCGAAGAAAAGGCAGAAAAATTAATTAAACCCTTGCGTTTCGAAGATGATATGTTGGCCTGGAAATTACGCCCCTAGATGTTGCAATTTTGGGTACATTAAACCAACAACGAGCAAGTTAGTGTGACTTGTCTTGAATTTAAAGAAAGGCCAAATGCTCCTTTGAGAAGGTAAAATATGTCAGATTCGTCTTAAGATTTTCCGGCATATCGACACAGTTGCTTTCTTCGTTGATGAAAGTCGATGATATCTCATAATTGACACTTCTGAAATGTCGCAGTGTCAGAATGGTACTCGGTGCAAGTCATTACAGAAAATGATTTGATTTTCTATTCAAAGATGTTGTCAATTGCGAATATGTGATATTTCAATTTACTTCTTACAATATGGCTGACAGTATATCATCCCAATTTGCATAATTCAAGAAGTTAAATTATGTTTCTTTGACCGTCATTTTATAATATTAGCAGTTGTTATCAAATTCAATAGACAATATAACTGATATGGATATTTTGTTGTTAACTTTGCTCACTTTGAATTAAAGATTAATGATTCATAAATGTTAGGTATTGATGGCATTCTTATTCATTGTCTTATAATCGGTTGAAAGAACTCATAGCTCCAGAGCATTACACTCGTAAATAAACTTTGACAGAAAATGATTGTAGTAGTGTTTTTAAAATTACATTTTAATCATATTTACGTAACATTTAAATGGGATAATATTATTTGATTTTGTGTTATTATATCAGTTACAAATAATATGATTTGCCATTACCTAAATATAATTATGTTCATACTTTTCATTTTAAAAAATTAAATTTTAATTTCATAATATCTAAATTAAGACAGTCATCATATCGAATTGCTTCATTAAAATGAATCATGGGAAATTCACAGTTCAAAACATTTAAATCTAATAACATGCGATAGTATTACATTAATATGCAAAAAAGGACAAATGATCATCAAATGTGCGACAAACATTCACATATGCGGGGCGATCTAAAAGTTAAATTACAATCCCTTCAGGAATACGTCTCGATTTGATCAGTGACTCAGGCACAGGGGCAAATCATTTCAATCTCTGACAAAGTCCAACTGTCACCCGTTTCCCGTGCACAACAGAGGCGAAAAGTCGCCAATTACATCTGAATTAACTTTTACTAACTTTTAAATAAGTAACACAACACCCATCCGTTCCTCCCAACATTGCCCCGAGCCAAATTTCAAACCGGGCGAACAGCAGCTAAACAATGCATGTTGTTTTCGCCTTTCCAGTCATTAAAAGCCAACCAGTTGACAATTCAGATGGTTCGTGTTCACTGCCCACAGTCTTGATGCCTCAAGACAATGACTTCTCCAGGACCGTCTGTTCTATGAAATCTGGAGGCAAGCCACTCCTAACGCCGAGACGGGTTGGGACACGGGTCGTGAACACAGAGCCTGCTAATCAAAGCTTTAACTCTATTGGGTACCCTAAACGTAGTTAATTCCCTAAACAAATGATTTTATTCATTATCCTCTTGAATGGCTATTCTCTCTGAAACTGCCCATGTAGATTTGTGGTCAGTGGAGGATACTAATTGTCCACCTGACCAGCTGTCGGCTCTCGGTAGCGTTCGTTCCACAATCTGCTCCCAGCCAGGTTTTAGTGGCAACCGGATTAGTCTAGGATGAGTCGGCCATCCTGTCTTAATCTTACGTTTGCAGGACGGTGTTGATTTCGTCTGGGTTTGCAGTAATCAATTTGACTTGATTAGAAACTGATTTCTGGTTTGGCACAGTGGGTAATTATCGGTTCTTGTCTGTTAACCATCTGAGCAGTATGTAGAATTGATAATAAATTCTAACGATTTATATTTGGATTTGGTATAACATGAACCTTAATTCGTCCATCTCATCAATATCAACAAACAATTTCTGTGAAAACAGTTCATCTAGAAGTCGATACAAACGATAGTACTGACGCATCTTTACGAAAAAGGTTCATGAGAATGACTACATTATGGACAATATGTCTAAGAAAAATATTTAAAGTAAGATGAACATATTATAATCAATATATTTATGTTATTCTTATACACATTTTAATATATATTTATATTATTCTTACACATAACTGTTTACTTTGATGATTATGATTATTGTA